CCCCCCCTCCCAAACACACACAACGCTTAAGACATTTCGGCTCTTCAAAATCGGAGGCAAACATGCATGAAACCTACACATCTTGGACCATTCCCGTTGGCGTTCAAATTGTTCTCCTTGCCATTTGGCCGCACAACAGCTTAGAAGACCTCTCGAGAGCCATCAGAGATTGCAGTTACTCGATACATCATCCACATGTAAATCACTGGCCAAAGGAGTAAAGTGAGCATATGAGGCAATGAATGGCAAGAGGAGCACAGTAACCAATTCCATCTCGGGAATCTAGAACAGACATGATCTGGACGAAGCCCCTTCTGAACGTGGTTCAGTGCCCAGAACTGGAAATGTCATGAATTCTTTGTCTAAGGTTCACGCCATGGGAACTCTAGGTAAAAACCCTTTGCTAAACCTTCATTTTAAGAAAAGGGAGAAGGGCGGTTGGCACAGGTGGGGCAGGGCTGCGGCCACGGAGGGAGAGTGTGCAGAAACTGTGCAACAGACAGTACGATGAGTACTTCGTTTTCCTCTCATGTTGGACTAGAAGTGAGGGGGTACGTGGGGCCAGTGTTGGGCTTGAATTTCAGCCCTCAAAGCTTCATCTGCTGATCAGTATACAGCACAGTCAGTGGTGTAACTCAACCTCTTCGAACCGTCAAGGATGCTGAATAACTGGGATGGAACTGAACAGCTGGATACCCTTCCATATGGACAAGGACACTTGATACTAGTTGATAGGGAAGATGTTTTACCATATGAAGAAAGAGGAGGAAGAAGAGTAGCCTTGTCAATAGGTTGAGGAAGGGATTGAAAGCTTTCCATAAAAAAAGCTGGAATCTAGAAACAGTGATAGAGACTCAAAGAAGCCAGGGCGCAGAAGACTCAAATGAAGCCAGGGTGCAGAAGGAAAGTGCAAGCATCGACGAGAAAGGTGATTTCAAAAGGGGTTAAAATAGACCTGAGAAAATCCTCGTCTGCTTGCGCCATTGCTTCATTCCGCGTCCAACATAATGGTGATACGCCTGCAGAACAGTGCAGCGTCAGAGGCAGGTACGCTTGTAAGACGGGAGGCTTTTAGATTAGACCAGCGTCAATGGCAGGAAGTATGTAACTTCACTGGATTGTCAATAGACTTTCTCTACAGTTTGTGAGTTTGCTCTGGTGGCCAGTACCCGGACATGTAGTGGTGCAACCACAGCTAGAATAAGGAATACTAGAAAATAGTCCGCATGGTTGAGTTAGGAAGAGACCAGGGAACTGAGAAGGGTTCAATTAGGCAAGCATTCTATAAGCAACTGTGATGAAAGGAAGGTTTGGCAATGGCTCCAAAATTCCAATGGCGTTGCTTTCCAGCTCTCGGTTCAATCATTTTCTGGAGCTTCTAAATAATTGTGAATCACTGCCTTCGTGAAAAGACCCAGAATCGACGAGGACCTTTTTTTCCTTTGGCAGTCATTTGATGGGTTATAATGGGGGCCATTGGGCTGCCTGGGGAACGGGGACGGGGGATGTTGGAAATCAGGAAATTTAAAAGGATGGCACCCAGGAGATTGTCTCACAATCATGGAGGTCATGCTCACATCATTGGAGATGGACCATGCTCAGGGAGTGCTTGGATGTTAGCAAAATGGCAAAAACCCAGATCAAGGTGGACGCGTCATAAGTTCGAACTGGGTTAGAACTTAACTTGAAGTGTAGAATGCTGATGTGGAGGATTTTCCTCTTCATGCTTCCTTCTCCCCCCAAAAGAAGACAAAGGCGGACAGAAATGAGAGAGAGAGAGAGAGAGAGAGAGAGAGAGAGAGAGAGAGAGAGAAGAGAGAGAGAGAGAGGGTGCAGATGACACATCCTTGACAGCATGAACAAGCATCCCCAGCCCCCAACAGCAAGAAATTGTTCAGCGGGGGGTCGGTTGAGAAGGGGTACACCAAGCAAGGGGAAGAGAATACGACAGTCCGGAAGACATAGGGGCATCAAAGGAAGAATATGGGACCCCAGCATGTGATTCGGCATGAAAAGGAATTGGAATTGGCATATATTTCTAGTTCCGGAGGGGGGAAATAAATGGACTGCGAAAATACAGTCTCTGTAGTACCCTTTGTTTGTGAAAAAGAGAACATAATAAGAAAGAAACGTTACAATCACTGAGCTACTGCCAAAACAGCCAGATTCAGAAGGTTTGAAACAGGGTCCAGCTTTTTAGTTGGATAAAACCTGAGTATCTGAGTCCTTCCCGGTTCTGCACTGATGGTCGTTTAGGGCTGCTAGGAGTGGACGGAAAAGCGGACAGGGCAGGACAGCGAGGGGGCGAACCCTCCCCTCTATGACGATGATGATAAGGATTATACAGTTTTTATACTTATCACAAGGGTACCTGTTGCGGCTTCGCTCGCAAGGAAATGAGGGGAAAATGGGAGAAATGAGTCGGGGTGGGGGGATCGGGGGTTTGGGGGG